AAGGAACATTTAAGGGAGAATGTTTTGTTGTAGACCAATACAGACTGCTTAACTCCATAGGAGTTTTAAGTGCATTGAAATTTGAAATAGTAAAATCGGCAGCTTATTTGCTCTTGTCAAGAAGCATATGAACACATCTGTGGATGCAAAAGCCACAGAGTCAAACAGACAGGATTTCTACATTTCACTGTTGCTTCTACCACTTGATCTTGCCTTTAGTCTAGAAAAAAAATAAACGGCAGACTTTTGCTTCTGGGTTTTTAGTAAAGAGGTCAAAATGCTTGGGTTTATTAGAACATGCTAACTCTGCCTTTGTCTTTATTAGCCTGGGTGGAGGAACTTTTTACAGGCTGTGCTAGTGCTATATTTTATGAAAACAAGAAAAGGAGATGTTMGTATCATAAAGCTCTTCTTACACTTAGCTTCCTGTGATCATCAGAAAGACTACCCAGACCTCATTTATGTATGTGTGTATGTTTGGATACAGGGTCCTGAGCACATATTCCTAAGCACTGTGAGATCAAATTCTTAATAGTTTCATCTTAAAATGCCCCCTACAGAAATCAGCCCATCAATGGATTATCTTCAAAGTCTWACTGCTGACAGTTGATATATAGTAAAAAAGGGACAGGAATTTATTTTATTAAGTCTTCAGTGTTGGGTCTGGGGTTGTAGCTCAGTGGTAGCATGCTTGCCTAGCATGTGTAATGCACTGGGTTTGATTCTCAGCACCACATACAAATAAATAAAACAAAGGTCCATCACAACTAAAAAAATATTTTTTAAAAAGTCTTTGGTATTACTGCTTCCAGTTTSTATCTACTCCTTTTTTGATTTGTCATGGTTTGTCTAATTATATAATAAGAACCTTGCCACTTCACCATTCAGACAGCTTGAATTTGCATCTCAGTTTTACCACARTGTGACTGAAGAGTTATTTACCCCCGGTTCTCAATCACCTCATCTGTATAATAGTGATGATAGTAATATATACCTCACATAATGGTGTGAGGATTAAGAAATAGATTAAAAATATAATTCCATTTCGAATTACACTTTTGTGGTTTGGTTTTTTTGTTTTTTTATGCTGCTAAACAGGATTAGGGTTAATGGATCCTTAGCTTTGCCAGTGTTTCCATGCCATGGAAGTTGCTCTTCAAGCTTCTGAGATAAAYCAGAAACACACAAAGCAATGGTTCTTTATGAAACAGAGTCTTCACTGTGAATTTTTCTTTGTTTTCACATTTGGTATGACATTGAGTACCTTCTAATGTTTTCAGAGCAGAAACATGTTTTAGACCATTTCGGTCGGCATTTAATTTATTCTAGAAAAATGAATTAATTAAATTCAGAGGAGGGAAGTTCTGGGGAGTGATGTTGGCCAAATTATATTGTCACATATGTTCATGTACAAATATATAACAACAAATCCCATCATTATGTAACAACTATAATACATCAATAAAAAATGTGKAAAAAATTAAATAGAAATTAAGCACTCTGTCATTGGTTGGTGCCATTACTGAAATATACTTGAAAATTTTTCCCTTAAGTGTAACAGAAGGGACTTGTCTATGCTCTTTAAAGTATTAGGCAGAAAAAATTAACCAACTTTAAAAATTTTCTACAAGAGATGTTTTCCCTAGGAAATAATATGATATTCATGGAGTCTTTGAAATCCAACACGTTCMTTATTTTAGAATGTGTACCTATGGATCTTGTTCCTATAGCAGTGTTAGTTTTGGGAAAAAGTGAACTTAAAGTGACATGTAATGTGATGAGATTCTAATCACAGAACTCCAGCCAATATCACAGTAAACAACCACAACAAAAAAGAGTGGAAGTATGCATATTCTTAAGTATTTATGCCAAAGTGGTGATTTTATGTTTCTGTGTACAGAGAGAGAGTAAAAATACTCCCCAAATTCACTTACTCATCAAATGCATTGTGAGAGCTGAGATGCCCCAGATCTGGACTCATTATCTTCATTACTTCATGTCTTATTGTTATAGAYGCCTTAGAAATGTCAGCCTGTGTGTGTGTGAAATTCATTTAGAATAAATGCAGTTCACTTTATTTATTTGTATAATTTGTACATCTTTTACAYATGCATTTTTTTCTCCCTCCCCCAGTAATTCAAAAGTTCCTGAAGAATAGGAAATGTGTCATCATTCAATGATACCTAAAATACACATTTGTTGTCAGTTGATTGACTAGAATGAAGTCTGGGGACCAGATAGTATTTTTGATATTGAGGAAGATATTTAGAACATATAAATGGAATATAAAATAAGCCACAACTGAAATAAATGATGAGAAAGTATAAAGATCAATTAACGGAGACATTAGGGGAGTATAGGAAAGGGGAGTATGAAAATCACTTAAGAAAGAAGGAAMCAAGGAGTTTCAAGGTTCACTCACAGAAATGTAGCCATTTGAATCTACATCCAAAAATATAATAAAATGGGAAGACAGAATGTGAACATGTGCAAGCCAAAATGATTTGATGCAGTCACTTTAATGGAAAATTTTGAGCAATACATTTGCATAACATGCTGGGTTTTATAGTGGGGAAAGAGTCATTTGCTTATCTTGAAAACAAAATAAGTTTAGTACTTTACCCAGGTTCAGAGGATCACTTCTGAATGAGAAAAATTATGAGATGAAAAAAGGAAATAAAGTTTTAATACTACAAGTCTATTAGAGTATGTGCTTATGAAGAYGATTTTAGTCAATGCACAAAGTTTTGCTTTAAAATCATCAGGGCATTGCTTTGTACTTAATTGTTCAAGGGCCAATATAATTCTTTCAAATATTTTGTTATTTAAATAAGCGTAGAATATTTGGTAGCTAAAACTACCTGCTCTCCTAAATCTGCATGTTGCGGACTATATTAAGAAATGTCATTTTGATGAATCTTTCCTACACATGAAAAAATTAAATGAAGTCATTTAAAATGCATAGTAGTTTAAGTGAGTACATGCAGCAGAAAGACTAGCAATGATATAAATGTTAAGCAGGAGGAACAACATACTAAATCCTATAAATAGACCTTGAAAAAGAAGACTTTTTGAACTTCAAGAAACAGCACCTACAATTTTCTATTCAAAATTGCAAAGGGTATTTGTGGCCTTTTTAAAATTTGTAAGTGACAAAGTAGCTATACCTCCAAGTTGCAGAACACTGAGAGTGGTAAAGTATCTCGGAACTGAAAAGGTAGAACCCAAGTACCTGTAAAGGGGATGACAATGGAAAGCAAACATCATTCTGCAGAATTCCAGAAAGGCTTTTGAATTGAAGTAACTGGTACAATTTCTGCAGAAAGAGGAGGTGGAAATCGGCACATTGAAAGTTTCTATGACAAAGAGACCCTTTTTTTTTTTTTAAAGGGAGAGAGAATTTTAATATTTATTTTTTAGTTTTCAGCGGACACAACATCTTTGTTTGTATGTGGTACTGAGGATCGAACCCAGGCTGCACGCATGCCAAGCGAGCGCGCTACCTCTTGAGCCACATCCCCACCCCAACAAAGAGACCTTTAACTTCATATCTCCATCCCTGCCTGTACCAAAACCCTGTGGGATGCAGGTGGTATATGCTCAGAAGAAATTGAGCCTCTGGATTGGAGATGGCAGGCAAAGAATAGCATCTCTCTAGAGGGAGATAGGGGATTTCAAATTGGAAGGTTAAAGAAAAAAATCTGAACTCCTTGAGAAAAACAATCTTACATACTCATAAATTAGATCCCATCCACCTAATAAAAGTTTACCACCAAATTAGCCTACACTTTGTTTAATACTAGTCTGGATTAAATTATTTATGATAATGTTGTACTACGTTTTGGTAAGTAAAAAACTCTGAAATCATCCTACAGCTTAACAAACTAGAAGTTGTCTCATTACCATGAGTCCAGTATGGCATTCAGCTTTCCTCTGTGTCATTTGGAGCATGCAGAATCTTGATGTCCTCATGGCAGAAGGTGGGATGATAGAGGGAGCCACAGATTCTTAGTTGTCTCAGTCCAGAAGTGATACATTCAGAGTCCTTCATCTAGAACCATTCACCAGGGAGATGTCAGAGAACATGAAACTTTGGGTGGCTGCTGACTTCTCTAGAACTCTGCAGAGTTATGCCCTTGATCTTGCAGGACACTCACTTTCTTCTCATTGATCAGACATGGGCCTTATTGTTAATTTCATTGAAAAATTACAATTTGTTTTAAATTCAAAAGCTAACATTTGATGTCTAATATGTTCTGAACGGAGTAAGAATACAGAGATACATACATGTTATACCATCTTAGTTCTCAAGGTTATTCCATCACTTACCCTCTTATTTCACATTGGCTTTGAAATTATTTCCAAATCATTCCCTCTTAATGCTTATATTGATGGACATAACAGGACCAGCTAATCAAAGATTGTATAATAAGTTCCTGATTTATAATCAGCAGGATCTTGTGTCCCTGTTGAAAAATATTCAATTTCAGATATTTCTCCTGTCTTTTTGAGAACTGCTTTCCATTTCCTTCTTAACCAAAATAATTGTTGAGAACTCTTCTTCTTCATAATGATAATACTTGAGGATCTCTAATATGCTTTATAGATAAGTAAGTGCAAATTCATCTATTTCTTAGTATTACCTTGTGGTTTATTTCTGATGCTCACTGAAGCAGGTTTGTAAATTAATAAGAATATGAAATGCTCTRTAGAAAGTTTAATAGCCTATCAGTTGAAAGCAATTATCCAGAAAGAGTTTTTATATCTGAGTCAGATTTGCAAATGCATCTCATATACTTTTTGAAAGGAAATAATTCTTTTGATTTAAAAAGATATATTTATCTTGGAAATACAATATTATTAGATCTGTTTTATTTGACCCTCTAAATCTGTAGTTTGGTCTGCTCATACCAGTGGTACATCTCATTTTTAGTGTTTAGATTATGAGAGTATTAATCAATTTTTTATAATGTTTGGTTTCTTTATGTTTTTGCTTTCAGAGTACCCGAGTGGCTTTGGACCATCTGGAGTCTGTGCCCGAGAAACTGAGCCTTCTAGAAGGTTTCAAAGACTTCAGAGTGAGAAAGAGTTGGCTTGTCTTTTTCAGTATATTTATCTGAGTGAGARCACTTGACATCTTCCTGATGTGCAAAGAAAATTGTAGAAGGGAAGAAGGACCAAAAAATGTTGGGGACTTCTGACAATCTATCTTATCATTTTACTGGCATTTATAATATCTGGACTGAAAAAAAATGAAATTATGTGTTAACAGAACATAGGAAAATAGAGACTTTATCCTCCTACTGGAAGTTCACTTGTCTCCCAAAAGCTAAACAAGAATTTAGAAAAACCTGATAATTAAAGAGAGTTACACATTACATTGACAATTGGGAACTTTTTAATTTATGAATTATCTTCTTTTTTACAGATTATAGGGCACTGTTTGTCCAGAGATATAATAGTTCCCAGGTTATCCCTGTGATAAATGAATTTAAATTCACATAGAGTTTTAGATTCCATATCCCATGCTATTTACTAATAGAACTACTAGTATTTCACATCAAGCCAATTAGTGACACGTGAGGGTTATACACTGTGATTTTTGTTAAGTTCCTCACAGAGGAGAAATGCAAAGCAAGTTTCACTGTTACCTAGTTATATCAGAAGAGGACCTATCTGGAGAAGATCTTCCCGTATCCTCATAATGTACATTTTTGGTGATTTGTAATTTATTTGACAGGGTTGATATGATTTACAGAACATCAATAAATGGCCACAGCTAACAATGTGGAGGGTTTCCCTTGGGAGACCACACAGCATCTAATTTCACATTTGCCTTAAAAAATAACTTTTTAAGTATAGCTTATATTTAGTTCTGTTTAAACCTAATGTATTACTTGAGAATACAGTGGGTAGGAAGAGCATCCAGATCATGCCATATTGATTTACTGGAAGAAGTGATATGATGTGGTTCTCAAAATCTATACCATCTTAAAATTACCTTACAATAGCTTGTGTGTGTGTGTGTGTGTGTGTGTGTGTGTGTGTGTGTGTGAATTCAGTAACTAAAATATTTTTGAGATCAATCCTAGCTTGACTGGACACATCCTAAAATCTAGACTATTACAAATAGGATAAAACTATTTATAGTATATTTTATTGAGGTTTTTTATTCATTCTTGAAATATGCTTACATATTATCAATATTATTAAAGTTTTGATTCTTTCTTGAGATATGCTTGTATATTCACTGTCAAAGAATCCTGAAATCACTATTTAAGACCATGTAATTTCTTTTTATCTTTATTCAGTCCATAGCAGGGAATATGTTATACCCATATCTTTTCTCCCTTTTTTTCTGTGCTAACAGAAGTCATCTAAGTGAACAAAGGATCGGGCAAGAGAGAGTATTGGAAACAGGTGGTACTTTTCACTGAGAAACAGATGCCTGACTTATACCAATAAAAACATACAGAATTTAACCTCCAGTAACAGTTCATTGGTTCCCCAGTGATCTTCATTGAACTGAATGTTCCTAAGTACAATTCAAAAGTTGTGTTCACCACTGTTACTGAAAGGTTTATTATTATTAATTTTTATGCTAAGGGCTAGTAATTATCTACACATCTAGCTTATGTATACACAAACTCATAAAAATGCCTTTATAGTAAAATTTCTAGGGAGAATATTTTTCAAAGTTCAGAATTGTACTTTCTGATACATTGAAAGTGAAGTCTCCACCTTTAAAAGGGAAAGGAGTATTATGCACACATATGGCCAGTGTGCATAATAGCATAGACTGTTTGGCAAACAGCGGCTAAATATGATACATTTTCTTCTAATCTTCAGAGACAACCTGTATGGGCATTATTTCCTTATTTTTACAGATGGGGAAACTGAAGCTTGCAGTATATAAACTAGTCAGAAGTGAGATCTAATTCCGTTTTTTGCCTTGCTGCCTCTTAACCTAAACCCATTCTGTCTGTCCTCTAAAGCCATCTATATGGGTAAATTAAGTCCATTTACTAAATCAATCTCATGAGAACAACTTGACATCACCTTAAGTTAAAAATACATAAAGCCTTTAGATTATTAGAAATGGATTGTATTTTTCAAATCCCTGAAACTTTCTAAAACTCAATGAGYTGTGAACGGAGAGTACAAAGACCGAAGTTATTGTCCTAGTTCATTTCCCTGTTACTTGAATTTTGATGCTTATGAAGACTGAGATATCTTTAAATTTAAAAARTCTGTGTAATATAATATTTAAAAGATAATGTTGTTTATGGAGAAGTGAAGTAAAAGGGCTACAATTTTAAAGGCAGTATCTTTTAAACAAGGAGAATATTTTGATACCATGTATAATTTTGAAATATGATATATAACATCCAAAAGTGGTGTGGTAACTCTGACTATCTTTGGGCAGCTAATTGTCACTAACGCTTTTTCCTTTCATCTAATGAATGCCAGTCATTTCTAACGGACATACTAACTAGTTTCTGAAAGAATGTAAATTAACAGTGTGGTATGGTAGTGTCCACACTATCCATTTTCTTTCTTTTTTTTCTTGGTGGTGTCTTTTTCCTTTATGTGCTCTCAAAATGCCTGTGATTATTTCTTATCTACATATTGATATTTTCTTATTCTAATTTCAARCACTGATTTTTCTTTCACTGACCAATTTAGATCTTTTATTGTTTTTTTTTTCTTTTCAGAATTCCCACAGTTTATGTGAGAGAACTGATGGGAGATACCCTAAATTCAGAATTCACAGAGATCCTTTTCAGCGACGACAAGAAGATACCAAGTACAGAATGAAAACCCTCAAAGTAATGTTCTTTATGTATATTCTCAGTCTTTAAGCACTATTCCTGTTTAAGCTTACGACCTCTTAAACAGTCCTCATAGTGTTTGYGGAAGGACATTTTTGAAAGAAAAGATTTTCTTTGATGCATGGAATAGATTTTCAATTCAATGGGACTAGAGAAGAAAAAAAATTCAGAAATTGTGCCAACAACATTTTGACTGGGAACTAATCTTTTAGTCTATGACATTGTTACTCAGTAAGTTATTTTTATGGGAATTGATGCTGCTGAAGAAATCATGAGGCAGGAAACCCCTAGTCACTTGGTTGGTCAAAGTCTTACTATGGTTAACCTCCTCTGTGTGTAAGTCCAGCTTCTTTCAGCCCTCAAATCCCCCATAGATCAACTAATATATAGTCTTTTGTAAGCAATAATCTTCACATTTCCACTCATTCTTCTCCCAGGTGCATCAACTTAATGCTAATATTTCTGCTTATGATTTGTAAACATGGAATCAACACATAGCAGACTGAGAGGATTTGCCATATTGGCAAAAACATATCATTCCCTAGGCCTGCCTAATACCCATCTGGGACAGATGGATAAACCCATTTGGCCTTGAAAACTTCTTAGCCTACAGCCAAGTTTCTCAACTTCAGCATTATGACATTTTGGGCCAGATAAGTCTTTGTTGTAGATACTGTCATATGCATCATATGATATTTAGCAACATCCCTAGAGTCTCCTCACTAGATGCCAGTAACATTCCCTATCCCAAGTTGTGACAACCCCTAATGCATCCAGACATTGCTGAATGTCCCCTGGAGGGCAAAATTTCCCTGTATCAAGAATACTGACTTAGAGTCAATGTATATTCTACTGTGCACTCCAAGCCAATTACCACCCCCCCCCAAAAAAAAATACTAAAAGCTCTATGGCTTTCTTTATATTGTTACAAGTTTTAATAGTTATGAATATTCAGTATGCTGTATATATTCACTTACTATAGCCAAATACAATTATTTCYAAGAAACTTACTCCCTCCTCTGAATATAATTGGATAGAATATTCAGTGCTCATTTCCATAAATTCTCTTTAGCATGCTTAAAATGAGCACTATGCTTCCTCCATCCTAAACAAAAATTAACACAATTATGCCACATTATTGATATTTCTACTATGAAGAGAACTTTGTTATGACTTTCTTATAACTTTCTTATGACTTTGTTCCTTTTTATCTTTGGTTTCATAGATTAGTATTATTAGTATTATTAACTAGAGCAGTGACCTTGTTCTCTCTTATGGCAATTTTTTAAGTTCCCTAGATCATCTTCCATCATTCCCAGCAGGTTCCATATGCTCAAGCATTTCTCCTTAAACGGGAATACAACATTTAGGCATCAAGAAGTAAGGATAATCACTAATTATTAAGCWTATATTAGAACAAATTACATGAAATCACCTCTTGTAGGTGTTTCATAGCTTGTGTTCATTATTATATTTTATCCTCCCAGCAACCCTATCAGGTTGGGGACATTATTTTTTCTCTCTTTGCTGTTGAAGAAAGCAAGGCTGCAGAGTAATTAAATGGTCAAATCAGTATTAAGACCTAACTCTACCTGGTTTCTGTAATCTACATGTTTGAATACTATGCTAATATAATACAAATTTAGATCACAAAGTTTTCTAGAAGTGACCAAGTGTAAGACCAAATTTTAATATGTAAAAGTTTTCTCCAAAAATACATTAACACAATACAAACCCATGAGTTCATCAGAGGTCTGAATGCAAATAGAACATTTAAAATATTATTTTCTAATACACTAGGTTTGGTGTCAGGTGAATCAGTGTTATCTAGTGGCACCTAAAATTGCTATAAATCAATGCAATTTCCGTAATAGCATATGGCAAAGCTATGAATGTTTAACATGTTCAGCAAGTAATCTCATTGTAGTTCTGTTTAAAATTACATTTGCAGCTAAAGATAAAATCAGGCCTGGTTTGTAAGAGAGGCCAACACTTGGCAAAATGAGAAGCAAGTTTGAAAATTTGCAAAAGATGATACAAGTATACGTTAGAATCAGAAAGCATAGTTTTTGATGGTGTTATGCCACATTAATACTACTTATACATTTTAAAACGTATTTCTAGCTCAGTGATGAGTACATAGACTATCACTAAACATAGCAGATGCCTGCCCTGAAATAGTGTGGTAATCCAACACAAAACTCTTGGGAATATCACATATTTTGTAGTCTCTGCAGAGGAAACGTGAGAACCTATTTTTGCCAGTGGTAGACATGAGTGGTCATTTGCTTATATGTTTTGTTATGAAATCAATTACTTAAAGAGACTGAGAAGGAAATCAGCTTCAAAAGAAGCATGTGTTTAGGTGCAGTGTGAGAAATCATTTCTTGGCTCTGTGGATAATCAGTAATCTGGTAAATCATCAACATGCTGAAGAAAATGCTACAAATAAGAGAAATTGGAACTCTTTCTACCAAGAGAAAAGATGTCCCATTTACTACAACATCAGTTTCATAAGACAGTATTTCAGCAAGTTATTAAATTTTCCCACAATTTTGTTAGAACAGAGTTCAAAGAAAAGGCACATTATAAGAACTGGAGTTGAGAGATTCTGCTGAGAACTGCACGTGGTTTCAGGAAATAAGTTAGTAAAGAATTCTTTTTAACTCAATAAACATACTGTAGCTTTGATATTGCAAAACACTGTAGTAACTATTGGGAGTGGAGATGGGGTATAGGCATATGAAGATGGAAAAAGCGTGATCTTGAAAGATGGAGAATAATTACTTAATCATCTTAATTCTAGCAGATAAATCTTGCATTATTGTTCTAGACCAGAAGTTAGCAAACTGCCCATGGGGTTAAATCTTGCCTACCAACTACTTTTGCAAATAAAGGTCTATTAAAATACAACCCACCCACTTATTCACATGTTTTCTATGACTGCTTTTATACTACTTAATTGTAGAATTAAGTAGTTGCAACAGAAATTATATGGCCCACAAAGCCTGAAGTATTTATCTGACCATCTGTAGAGAAATTTACCAATACGTGGTCTAGAGAAAGGAAATTGGCAATCTTCTTTTATATATTATATGAAATATTTCCTTTTCCTTATTTATCAAATACTGYCCAAGCCCTTTGGAAAAGCATAAAAGTATCCATCCATTCAATATGTATTTGTTGAGCACCATCTATATGCCTGAAACATTCATGGCATAAATCAGTGAGCCCTTTTGGAGTTCCTGTTCCAATCAGAGGATATTCATGTTTGTTGTTATTTTCTGAATATTTATTGGGTTTCTACTAATACACAATGCACTGTGCTAGGGACTCAAGAGAATGGCATAAGAAAAATCACTGCCAACCCTTAGCAGTTTAAAACCTTCACACAAACACAAATAGAAGTACAAAAGAGAAAAGGATAAATGTAATAAAGGTGACCCCAATAAACCTCTTTCATGGTTCAGAGAAAAGAAAGATGCTCACAAGGCTTTTGAAAAGAGATTTATAATGACAAAGTGCAGAGAAGTGTTTTATTCACATCTGAATTTGCAAAAGGTCCTTTGTTAGCATTTCAGTTGTAGAAGTCTGCCCATATTGCTGTTGACAGACAAATAATTGTTGGAATAGCAGAACTGTGTTGGCAGCTGGCTTCTTTCATGTTGTTGCTGTTTTTTAAAAAGCACTGAAACATCCAGCATGACCACACAACCATTGGAGAGGACTGGCAAGTGGGCAAGTCAAGTTCTCTTTCAACCCAAGGCTGGAGCTGATCTAATTCACCAAGAATGAGATCACCAGAACACAAATGATCAGATTTCTAGAAACCTGTTGAGATTTTGAGCAGTGCACAAGAAACTCAATTATAAGGGCATATTATAAAAATACAATAATATTATGTTGTATTAAGATGGYCAAGCTAATTGAACAAAGCCTGATTTAAAAACTTATATTTAGAATTCAGTTCAAAACTGAATCTAACACATTTTCACTGCCTCTCTGTAGAMTACAGAAGCATTCATGGCCTCTTTTCCATCCGGCCTAATTGAGTTTCTGTAGGACATACAAGCTCCCTTGCGTCCCAGCTGTTTCAAATAGAACAAAATGTCCCAAAGTCAGCCAGTAACACAGCATTGCTAATCTGAATTCACAGAGGAGCATGAGTTTGTCCAAGAAATCTCTATTTGTTACCTTTACCAGTACTAAATATATGGTTTTAATTAGCATTGGAATTTTTTAGTAAAATCACAGAAAGCATTTTTTTTTCCTATTTTCCTTCCTCCTATAAGGAAAATCATGGTTTTTAACTTCTAGTTGAAGAGTTAGTATGCAGCTGCTTTAAAAAAAWTTTTTAATTTGTTTTAATTATACATGACAGTAGAATCCATTTATGTACTTTGATATATTATACATAGATGAGATATAATTTCTCATTTTTCTGTGTGTACATGTTGCAGAATCATATTGGTCATGCAGTCACATATATACATACAGTAATAATGTCTGTTTCATTCTACTATCTCTTCTGTCCCCACATTCCCTCCATTTCCCTCCCATCACTCCCTCTACCTAATCTAAGGTAACACTATTCTTCCCTATTGCCCCCCACCTTATTGTGAAATAGTATCCACATATTAGAGAAAACACTTGGCCTTTGGTTTTGTGGGATTGTCTTATTTCACTTAGCATAATATTCTCCAACTCCAACTATTTACTGGCAAATGCCATAATTTTAGTCATCTTTTTAGCTGAGTAATATTCCATTGAGTATATATACCACATTTTCTTTTTCCATTCATCTATTGAGGGACACCTAGGTTGATTCCATAGTCTAGCTCTTGTGAATTGAGCTGCTATAAATATTGATGTGGCTGTGTCACTAGAGTATGCTGATTTCAAATCCTTTGAGTATAAACCAAAGAATGGGATAGCTGGGTAAAATATGATTCTATTCCCAGTTTTCCAAGGAATCTCCATAGTGCTTTCCATATTGC